TCAAAAATCCAGAATTATTCACCTTACTATCCCCAGTATCAAGTACAGTTCGCACATACACACACAATAAACCCTTGCAAGTCATTAAAAATGACTGATTGGCTTGAGAGTCTAACTATGGCATCATCAGATAGGATGTGGTTTTATATGAACAAAGTCAACCAAGCAGTAGGAGAGAAAGACTTAGCAGTGGTCCTCACCGCACACGAGAGCCACTTTGCCCAAATCAATTCTACTTTATTTTTTATCTTTATTAAATTTATTGGTACATATTAGGTATACAATACAGTTACATTCCTCACAGGGATCTAGTACCTTATACAGGACTTACCAGGTTCTTATTTTCCCCCATTCCCCAGCCCTCCCCTCAGCCCCTCCACCGTACCCTGCTTACAAAGACACTGTTTCCATGTTTTTCCCTTTCACTTATTTTTTCTTTTCCTTTTATACCTTTCCCCTACCCCTCCCACTTCCTCTACTCTTTTAGATTTTTCTTCCTATTATGTATTATCAATTATACATTTTAATACTTATTTACAATTTCAGTTTTCACACCAGAGAAACTATTCTGTATTTACATGTGTGACTTATTAATTTCATTTAAGAGTATGGCCTCAATGTGTATCCACTTAGCTATAAATATCTCTAGTTTCTTGTTTTTTATGGCTGAGTAGTACTCCATTTTTGTTTTAATCACATCTTCTTTATCTAGTCTTCAGTTCATGGGCAATTGGGTTGTTTCCAAGTTTTAGCTATTATAAACATGGGTGAGAATATATCACTGTGGTATGTTTCTTTTAATTCTTTTGGGGAAATACCCAGCAGAGCACTAGCTGGGTCAAATGGGACCTCTCATCCTAGTTTGAGGTATCTCCATATTGATTTCCACAGTGGTTGCACCAGTCTGCACTCCCACCAACAATGGAGAAGTGCTCCTTTCTCCCCACAACCCTGCCACCATTTGTTATTGATTGATTTCTTGATAGCAGCCATTCTTTCTGGGGTGAGGTGGAATCTCAATGTTGTTTTCATCTTCATCTCTTGAATGACCAGTGATGTTGAACATTTTTTCATGATTATTTGATGCTTTTACTTCTTTGTCTGAGAAATGTCTGTTCATTTTAGATGCCCACTTTTGAATTGGGTCTTTATATTTGGGGAGGTCTGATTTTTTTGAGTTCTTTATATATTCTAGGTAGTAGACCTTTGTCCAAGGAACAGCTGGTAAATTTTTTTTCCCACAATGTGGTTTATATCTTAGCTCTTCTAGTGATTTCTCTGGCAGTACAGAAGCTTTTTAAAAAGGTGAAATCACAATTGTTGATTCTTTGTGCTAGTTCCCACCCTACTGAGGATTTGTTCATCAAGTCTTTTCCTATGCTGATATCTTCAAGAGTTCTACCTAACATCGTCCAGAAAGTTTAGTGTTTCTGGTTTAATAGTCATATATTCACTTGGATTTTAGTTTAGTGCATGGTGAAAGATACGAGTCTAGGTTTAATCTTTTTCAACTTGAAATCTAGTTTTTCCAACACCATTTATTAAAGAGGCTATCTTTCCTCCAGAGAGTGTATTTGGCTCCTTTGTCAAAGATGAGGTAGCTGAGTATGTCAGATGTTTCTGCATCTTCTAATCTATTTCCTGATCCTCGGGTCTGTTTCTTTGCCAGTACCATGCTGTTTTTATCACAGTGGCTTTGCAGTATAGTTTCAAAGTGGGGACTGACATATCCCCTGCCATGTCTCTGTTGCCTAGAATTTCTTTTGCTATTCTACGACTCTTCTGATTCAAAATGAATTTTTGGATTGTTTTCTCTACTTCTATGAAATATACTGTTAGGGTTTTAATAGGGACTGCAATGAATCTGTATAGCAGGTTTGAGAAGTATGGCCATTTTCACTATATTGATTCTTCCTAGTTTTTATTTTTAAACTTTTTTTTATTTACTTATTAGTAGCATGCGTTGGCAGTAAATAAAGTTTACATTCTTTCTGAGTTGGCATATGTAGATATCTTAATTCCTTCATTCTCCCCTTTCCTTCCCCTCCCTCATACCTCCCTCTATGTCCTGATTCCCTTCCTATTTGAGAAAGATCTCCATACTTCCAATTATCTATATTATACTTTGCTTTTTATTTATAACTTGGATTTCTCATATAAAAGAAACCATGAGATATTTAAGACTGTGTGTCTGATATATTCATTCCACTTAACATCATGTTCTCTGTGTGCACCCATTTTCTTTCATCTGATTGAAGTTTATCTTTCTTTTTTTTTTTGAGCTTTAATTGAGTTTATTGGTACATTTTAGGGATACAGTACAGTTACATTCATTGTTGGGATCTTGTATCTTTACATGACAGGTGGTCTTGGTTCTCACTTTTTCCCCTTGTCCCTGCCCTCCCTTCACCCCCTCCTCCCTTCCCCATCTGCAATCACTTTATTTCCATCTTTTCATTATCTCACATTGTTTTCTTTTCCCTTACTACTCTTCCGCTACCCATCCCACCTTCCCTACACCTTTGACCCCTTTATTCCCATTTCACAATGTCAGTAATCTTATTAGGATCTTCTGTATTATTGCAGATTATTCACATCAGAGAAACTATTCGGTATTTGCACATGTGTGACTTATTTATTTCACTTAGGAGTATATCTTCAATATGTATCCATTTTCCTATGAATGAATCTATGTCTCATTCTTGATGGCTGAGTAATATTCCATGTTATAGAAAAACCACATCTTCCTTATCCAGTTTCCAACTGATGGGCAAATGGGCTGTTTCCAAGTTTTAGCTATTACAAACTGTGCCGCTATAAACATGGGTGCGCATATATCATTGTAGTATGATTCTTTTAGTTCTTTTGGAAAGATACCCAGCAGAGGGATGCCTGGGTCAAATGGAACCTCCATTCCAAGTTCTTTGAGGTATCTCCATATTGATTTCCATAGTGGTTGCACCAGTCTGCACTCCCACCAAAAATGGAGAAGGGTTCCTTTCGCCCCACAACCCCGCCAACATTTGTTATTGGTTGATTTCATGATAGCAGTCATTCTTTGTGGGGTGAGGTGGAATCTCAGTGTTGTTTTCATCTGCATCTCTCAAATGACCAGTGATGTGGAGCATTTTTTCATATATTTACTTGCTGCTTTTACTTCTTTGTCTGAGAAATGTCTGTTCATTTCAAATGCCCATTTTTTATTTGGGTCTTTATATTTGGGGGGGACTGATTGTTTTGAGTTCTTTATATATTCTAGATAATAGTCCTTTGTCTGAGGAACAGCTGGTAAAAATTTTTTCCCACATTGTAGGTTGTCTCTTAGTTCTGCTAATGGTTTCTTTTGCAGTACAGAAGCTTTTTAATAAGATGAGATCCCAGTTGTTGATTCCTTCTGCTAGTTCCCATGCTACTGAGGATTTGGTCATAAAGTCTTTTCCTATGCCAATGTCTTCCAGAGCTCTGCCTAACTTACCTTCCAGCAAATTTAGTGTTTCTGCTTTAATATTTAGATCTTTAATCCATTTGGATTTTAATTCAGTGCATGATGAAAGATAAGGGTCCAGTTTCAATCTGTGGCAGGTTGAAATCCAGTTTTTCCAATACTATTTATTAAAGAGGCTATCTTTCCTCCACTGAGGATGGTCAGCTCCTTTGTCAGAGATGAGGTAGCTGAGTACATCTGGATTTGTTTTTGTGTCTTCCGATCTGTTCCACTGATCCTCAGGCCTGTTTCTTGGCCAGTACCATGCTGCTTTTATCACAGTGGCTTTGTAGTATAGTTTCAAATTGGGAATTGTGATACCTGGTGCCATGTGTCTGTTGCCTAGGGTGGCTTTTACTATTCTAGGTCTCTTATGGTTCCAGATGAATTTTTGGATTCTTTTTTCTAGTTCTGTGAAACATAGTGTTGGAATTTCAATTGGTATTGCATTGAATCTGTATAGCAGTTTTGGTAGCATGGCCGTTTTCACTATGTTGATTCTTCCTACCCAGGAGCAGGGGATATCTTTCCATTTTTTTATATCCTCTTCAGTTTCTTTTTTCAGAGTGCTATAGTTTTCAGTGTAGAGATCTTTTGCTTCCTTGGTTAGATTGATTCCTAGATAGTTCATTTTTTTGGATGCTATTTTGAAGGGAATTGTTTCCTAATTTCTCTCTCAGTGAGTCTGTTATTTGTGTACAAGAAGGATATTGATTTTTGGGTATTCACCTTGTATCCAGCTACTCTACTGAATCTGTCAATTAAGTCTAGAAGTCTTTTGGTGGAGTTTTTTGGATCTTCAATGTAGAGGATCATATCATCAGCAAATAAAAAAATGTAATACATTATATTAACAAAGTCAAGGGCAAAAACCATATGATCCTCTCAATAGATGCAGAAAAATCATTTGACAAAATTCAACACCCATTCATGATAAAAACCCTGCAAAAATTTGGAATAGATGCTCTATATCTCAAGTTAATAAAGGCTATCTATGAAAAACTAACAGCCAACATCATATTAAATGGCCCAAAACTGAAAACCTGAAAAAACTGAAAATCAGGAACAAGACAAGGATGTCCACTATCACCACTCCTCTTTGATATAGTTCTGGAAACATTAGCCACAGCAATTAGACAAGAGAAAGAAATTAAGGCCGGGGATTTAGCTCAGCGGTTCGGTGGACCGAAAGGACAATCACAACCCGTGAAAAAAAAAAAAAAAAAAAAAAAAAAAAGAGAGAGAGAGAGAGAAAGAAATTAATGCAATAAAGATAGGAAGGGAAGAAGTTAAAGTGTATCTTTCTTTATAGCAAAGTAGTACTCCAGTATGTGTAAACACATTTTCTTTATCCAATCATCTGTTGATGGCAATGTAAATCCAGGAACGTGGTAAATCAGAACAAAACCTCATCTAGCCAAACATTTCCATGGAGCTCCCACCTCTCAACTCCAAAGCATCTTGCCATGTCCACTAACTCTAAGTAGATTTTCAAGAGCAGAAAGAGCCATCCTACCTGTGCTCCAATTCTCGAATAGACAGTACCACTCCGGAAGTCGATGGCTTCTGCTGTACGGTGGCCAAAAAGGTGAATTCACTCTTATTCCGGAACAGCTGGATGAACTTCTCACTCACATGAGGAGCTGCGTGGATCTCTCTCTCTGTATCTAGGGGATGAGAAGGAACAGGAAGAGGAAAACAGAAATGGAAGGAAGGGAAGGAAAAGAAGGGAAGGGGAAGGGGAGAGAAGAAATCCAGAAGGAAGAGAAGAGGGAACATGAGAAAGAAGAGAGAAAAGATCACAGTTTAAAATGCCATGTGCAAGGATCCAGATCACATTTTCCATTTCCCCTCCTGTTGATAGTTTCCACTTTCAGGCGCCATTTCACCTCATCATACGGCCGCAATCATTCGACGCAAAACCCACAAATGCTATCTCTGTCACCGTGCCCACTTGTCACTTTGACAAGTTTACAATCATCCAGACCATGGTTTTCTGACATGAGTTTTGACGGGACACTGAGCAAGTCAGCCTGGTGCGAACAGAATAAGTTGCTGTAAGATGAAAAGTGCTCAGATAAATGGGGCCCTGCATTCAGAGAATCCCAGATCTAGTGGAACCCAAATACCAATGAGAAACACCCATGTTCACTTTTCTCCTGGACTTGGTTTCCTGTTCCCCACAAGGCACCTAGGAAAGCTTTCCTTACCTTGTACCTAGCTGAGATTTACTAGCACTAACAACGCCAGGCAACTCTGCCTTTGCTTAAAGAATAAATACAAGACATGCTCCTGACCAGAAAACGTGCCTGGCATTTCTCTGGAAGCACGCAATGGATTACTCTCCTCATGAAATATTCATTAAGGCGCAGACCAATTCTGCACACCTAGAGGTGTGTGAGTCCAGATAATCCTGCTCCTGGACAGGAATCACTTTCTCCAGTGCCGCCATAATGACAGGCATCTGTCTTTTCCCTCTGTGCCTTGTCTTTGCCACCATAAACTGGGTGTGATCTCAGTATTTCACGCTATGTCTCCTGGCATCAGAAAGGGGCACTGAAGGAGCAAAGCAGAGAAGACTATTCAGAGGATGACAAGTGAATGTCAAAGGAGTATCGGGTGGGCTCCTGACCGCCCCTCTGGCCCGTCTGATAACTACTTGGTTATTGCTCTGGCCCTACATGAGGAGCCTTTGAAAACCACAAAACTTCAAAGGCTGTGTTGCCGGAGCAACAGCTCAAACTTGGGTAACAATCTCAGTGGCTTCTAAAAAGGAAATACTTAATTCTTGACCTTAGGTTGCTGTCTTCTCATCTACAAATAAAGGGGGTGGACTAGGTCTCTCTCAGAGCCCTCCCACCCTACCCTATAATTTATGAATTGCTGCTTCACATAACATAAAACAGATCACCAGTCTTTTCCCAGCTATAAAAGTCTAGGCTGAAAATGGGAAAAAACAAAGACTCTTCCACCACAGAAGCAGCCAGGTCCTGAAGAGCAACCCACCCACAATTTTTTTGGTGGTACCAGGAAATGAACCCAGGACTGTCACACTGAGCTACACCACCAGCACTCTTTTCTTTTTTTATTTTGAGACAGGGTCTCTCTTAAGTTGCCTAAGCTGGGTCTGAACTTGCAATCCTCTTGCCTCAGCCTCCAAGAACGCTGAGATTATAGTTCTACACCATTTGCATATCTAGCTAGGACTTGATTTGTCTGAAAAAAAACGCCTTCCCTACCGTTAAGTGGCAGGCTGTGTTAGCATTCATCAAGGGCTAAGAGACAGCCACTTAAAGAATGTGTCTATGCCTTCTGTGAAATCCCAGCTGAAGACTTCCCAGGATAATATGCACAACTTATTAAATATATAAACAAATCATGTTGCAAAGCAGAGAATATTAGCAAGATTTCATTAACAGTACATTTATTATCACTACTGCTGGGTAAAATTGTAATAAAATCCACCTAGAATTTAGTGCCAGAAAAAACATTTGACTCTTGAGATTAACTTACCTGTTTACCTCCTTGCTCATCAATTAGGAATCTACTGACTGGTACTGGGTGCCTGGAGAGCTCATTACAGGATTCTGCTGCTTGGACCCAGTGAAAAGAGGGCACAATCCATCAGCTACACTTGCTGGAGGGAAGAGTACAAGTACCTTACCCAATATGGGTGTCTTCACCTCAATATCCCCTAGGTAGTGAACTTCTCGCCCCATGACCAATGACCTCCATATTTAAATGTGCAACACTAAACTCTTCCTTAAGCCAACACAGTGATATATCTAATTTCCTGCTTACTATGTATCTCTGGGTGAAAGTCTGATAAACATTTCAATAGAGCTCTTGTTCTCTCCCACAACCCTCTATCTTCTCCGAGAGTTCCCAGTCTTTGTAAGTGGTAACGCCAAGATCCCCAAGCCAATAAAAGTAGAAAATTCACTCAATTCTCCCCCATTCTTCACCCTCCATATCTCATCCAAGAGCAAATCATGAGCGCTCTCGTGCCTGAAGTCTATGGTAGCTTCCCAACTTCACTCCAACAGCTCTTACCCAAGCCAACAGGGTTGCTCCCCCGGAAACTTCAGTAAGTTTCTCAACTCATGTCCCTGCTTCTCATAACTACTTTCTTTTCCTTGTTTGCGATACTATAGCCAAACTGCTCTTTTTAAAACATATTTGCAAATCATTTTAGCTCCTGCCTAAAATTCTCCAATGGTGTCTCACTACTCATACGATAAAGCCCAGACCCATTCTACTCACACACGCAGGACTTAGGCCTGTGTCTCCCACTGTTCTCCTTGGGTGCCAGAGGAGCTACCAGGCCCACTCCTGCCCCAGACCTTTGGACTCTCCCCTGCCACCTTCTCACATGCCTGCTTCCTCTTCCTTCCACTCCCAGTGCCAATCTAGCCCCTCCCAGCCCCTCTCTTCAGAGCAGGACCTCTGTCCAAGTTTCTCTAACACAACACTCTGGTCATTTTCTCCACAGAATTTATCACGTCTGTGAGTTGTGATCTTTTTATTATTCTTTTATGTCCCTTATCACAATGTCGTGCCCTACTTCTTGCTTCATGTCATTTCTTTCTTTTTCCCACCAATGGTAAGCTTCAACAGGGCAGGTGTACTTACGTATTCATTGTTTTATTGGCTGTTCCTAGCGCTTAGCACAAAATAGGCAATCATAAAGACTGATTCATGCATTAACTGATGTATCCTCCATTCTTTCTCTCGCTTACTTTACTGCTTTGAATAAGTACATATATTGCGCTCAGAAAATAGTATGATACCTTTTGGAAAACCAGGAGATAAGGGTGAATGCCAGCAGCTATCTAAAGAAAGGGACCTTGGAAGCCAATTTCCCCTTTTGTATAGAACACTACCCTCCCACGGTCCTCTCACACTCCTGCTCACTCTGTCTCCTTGAGAGCTCAACACGTCTTATGCTGGCTTGACTCATTTCTCTTTATAAACGATTGGTACATTGAAGAAGAGACCTCATTAACTCCCTCCAGAGTACAATGTAAGAAACATCTATTTTAATACATGGAGACTTTTTGTGCATTCTCACTTTCAGAAAAGTCCTTTCAAGTAAATGATTACCAAAATTCAGCCAGTAAAAACTTAGAAAACTCACTTCCTAAAAGGTAACAACACTGGACCGGGTTTCAAGGTGAGTCTGACAGATAACTAGCTGTGTGACCTTGGATAAGATGCTTTCTCTCTCTGAATCCCACGCACAACATCTAAAAACTAAGAGGACTGAGTTCTGTCATCTCCAAGTTCTTTCTTGGCCTCAATTTCATGCCTGTTGATCGCTTTATCCTGCTTCTAGTCACATAGTATAAGAGGGTACTAAGGGCGTTTTCCACATTCTACCATTTTTCTCTTTCGCTGATTTTCCAAATTAACACGAAGTGTAAAGTTTTTTTGTTACTGAAAAGAGTGACATATCACCTACTCGGCAGAAGCCTGCTCCCCACCCTCCCCGACCTTGGAGTTAAAAGTGACCAATGGAAACCAATTAGTGAGACCATAGAGTGAATATCATTCTTCAACATGCATCCACTATAATGGGCGTCACTGTATAACTGGAGAATATTTAATTCTGTGAGAGAGAACAAGGAAAACAAGTGGGATGAGTGAAGCTCCTAACAAGTATTAAACAGAAATATTAAGTTAGAAACCTGTGAAATGTGTTAAACAGAGATCAATATGTAGAACAGAAGTATGCTGAACATACAAAAGAGGCATTGGGTAAAAGTGGTACTTATAAGTAGAATCGGGTGGGAGGACGAAGACACGGTGTGGAAATCAGGCCAGCTTCAGAATGACAACTGTGTCATCCTGAACCTGATGCTCATCACTGACTTCCGTTCCATTAACGTATGACTCTTCCCAAGAAACGCCTTCAGAACCGCTCACTGCTCATCGACTGACCTGGTGGACCACAGCTGCAGCCAGAGTTACCTGCTACAAATGATGGCGCCAAGCCCCTCCCTCTTACTGAACCTCCTTGTTCAGCCTGAGCTCCGGATATCTCCAAGAAAGACTGAATGTATAGATGAGGCATAGCGCACGTGGGTGTCCTGCTTCCCTCCTTGCAGCCTACCTTAAAGGGTGCTAACTTGCATCTCTCTCCCTGCTACCTCCTAGATATTGCGAATTGATTACTTAGTAAGCCACATGAATCAACTATTTAACCTTGGTCTACCTCGGAGGCTTTCTCTGGTGTGACCTCTAGTATACTTGAAAGCTACCTTTGCCTCAAGGTAGTTTCCATGCAGCAATTATTTAAGGCAAACATTGCCCATTTTCTAGAAAGGGAAAGAAAATATCGCCCCAATTGCTCAAGGTTTGGCATGATCTAGTTACAAAGTGCTAACTCAGCAGCAAGGGTTAATTGCTTTTTCTTTCCTAGGATGAAAACAGTGCTACCTAGTCATTTTTAAAGGAAGACTAAAAATGCTAACGTTCTAATTAAACATCAGCGAAGAGAGTGTTGGGTGAAGGCAGGGGACTGAAGAGCAGAGAAGAAAAGAAATTACTAAATTATATTCATACACGCTTCTCTGCTGAATAGAGAAATAACTTTATTTCCCTCTCCCTTCACTTGTAAGTGTAGGATAGCGTTGAACTTCATTGCCAACTAACATATAAACTGTGC